CCAGGTATTATTCATATTGTGGGGACCTAAATCTGTTTCCACATTATGCCTCCTTATATTCTGTGAGGTACTCCCCATTATGTGAATCATGACATTTTTTAAGGTTCGGGTAAGGTTACGTTTAGGGTTTGGCAAGAAGTAGCTAGGGTCAAGGTTAGAATAAGGTCTCCAACAAATGAATTGTTATAAAAGTCATGGAGCCACAACGGTTTGTGTGTGTGTGTGTGTGTGTGTGTGTGTGTGTGTGTGTGTGTGTGTGTACCTGGTCCATATGCTCGGGCCTTCTTGGGGTTGAGTTTGGGTTTGAGTGGAGCTCCTGGTTTCAGTTTGGCTTTGGGGAACTGAGACAGGTAAGTCATCACTGACTGTTCGTCTGCACTGGGGTCAATGATCTCCTCTGGAGCGATCACCTACACACACACACACACACACACAACACACACACAGGACACACACACACAGGACAGACATCTTCAGTTAGTATTGAGTGTTATGATATGACTGGAGGCCTTTGGCCTCAAGCTTCTTTCAAAGAGATTTATCTGAACACTCACCACACACAGACAGTTTTAAAATCTGATCACAATCGATGCATCAGAACTGGAGATATCATCGGTGCCTACATTACCCACAATACAACTTGTCTGCCGATAGTTTGGTTGGAGATTCAGGTGTGTTATGCTAGTAGCAGCCTGAAGCATAAATGAAGGGTCGTGAGCTCCCTTTCGTCTTTAACTCCAGATTTCATAACTATTGTGCACAGCTCTCTCGGAGCCACGCAAACTTCACCAAGCTTATGTTTTCATCTGTGTGTGTGTGTGTTTGTTTGACCGTCACCAGGACAACGCAAAAACTACTGAACCAAATTCCCGTTGAAGGATGAGACACGTCCAAAGGAAGAACCCATTTAATGTTGGTGCGGCTTCGGATCAGAGGGCGGATCTAGGAATTTTGTTGTTCTGCTTTCTTTAACATTGCAACACGGAGCATTTGCACAACTGAAGTCGATTTCTCAAGGAAACTTCTCAGGAGATTAAATGGATTTTGATGGAAAAACAAAAAAAAAATCTGGCTTATTAAGGGGACTGATATTTAATTTAAATGTGGTTCTATAAGAGGACTAAGAAGTATGGGTATAAAGTACGTGGACGGCTGAACAATTCACCCATGTGTGATAATTTAATATCAGCCTCATTTATAGTTTCAGACTTTCCACCAGATTTTGAAACCAGCCTGAATCTCTCAACCTCAGGAGCATTAATTGGGTCGGACGCTGATGTTCGGTGATAATTTCTGGCTCAAAGTCGACGCTCCATGGTTGAGGTCAGAGTTTCGTGAATCCAATCGCGTTGCTTCACACCAGATTGGGAAAACTTTTCTTTATGGATCTGGCTTTGCGTACAGGGGCATTGTCATGTTGAAACAGGAAATGGCTATTATAAAACTGTTGACATGAAGTTGGCAGGAACGCTGTTGTCTAAAATATCACTGTATTCTGCAGTGTGAAGATTTCCCATCAGTGGACGTAAGAAGCCCAAACCACAGCCAAAATAAAATAATACTAAGTATTAGTATTGGGAGTCGGGTGTCCACACACTTTTATACAGTTTTCTAACAATTATTTTTAAAGAAAGAACAAGTGTGATGAAGTATTTTTAAAAAGTCAAACCCATCTCCTTATATACAACAGCAGTGTGCATTAAAAACACACACACACACACACACACACACACACACACACACAGAAGTGGATCACCATCAGTGGATCACAGGCTGAAGGGACCCAGCTGAACTAACAGAGGTGTGACACGGAGGACGAGGAGTTAGGGAGGAAACGTGGCTCTGAATAAAAATCTGACCAACGCTCGGTTCAGTCCGGGACAAATGAACTCACACCGCTCTCGTCTCTCTGCTCATGTTATCATGTTATATTCTGCGGCACTGGATCAAGACTTTTACGAGTCTGATATTGATGAAGTACAGTGACTACTTTCCCAGATATGATTAATGTCCTTAAAAAGAAACAGCAATCATCATCTTGTTATGATATCCTCTGACATCCTTACTCAATACTGCCTGGGGGGAAATCATTTGTTGCATAATTCATTATAAAACATTTCCATGTCACTTGTTTTTTCATTCTCTTGGATTCAAACAAAAGTTCAGTGAAAAACGGATTCAGGATCAGAGTGTTTCCTTCGTTGTGGAGTCCTTCTGCCCGCTCCAGAGAAAACACAGGACGTGGGACAACAACAACATCCCGAGAAGAAACGTTACAAGCTTTAACCTCTGACCAGGAAAAAGAAAACTACACTGGGATTTCTGATCTCACTCAAGTGTTAAACAATGACTAAAGGTCCCGGGAGACTGAGGGAATCGAACCTGCGGGATGCCCAGCCAGTCGTCAGCCAGCTGCATGGCTTCAGTGGCGTTCTCCACCGGTTTGACTGAATCCCAGGTTTCCCAGTCTGGACACAGACCTGCAAGAGACAACAGCGAATCACAACAATGTGAGCAAGAGCTACACACAGACACACAACGGAGAGAGGGGTCTTCTGGGAAAAAACACTGAGATTAAGTGTCACTTATGTACGTTAAGGATTTTTTAAATTTAAAAACAGTGTGTAATGATGATGAGGTTGTGTTGTAGTCAATGTAAATACAGTCGTGATGTGTGTTGTTTTGTTTGGGGTCTAACTGATGTGATTTCATTGAATTCTCAGAATAATTCAAATTAAAGATAAAATGGGACGGGATCCGTTCTAGTTGTCAAACTTGAAAACACACAAAGTTACACACAGCGCACACAGTTAAAAGTTCAGTACAACTAATGCACTCTAGAGCCATATACGCTGTAAAATAACAGATCCAACCCGTCACACTGTGAGATGAGTCTCATCAGATCTTACTTGTAATCCGTGTTGTCAGTCTTATTCTCTGAAACTGAGCGTTAGAAGCTTCAAACGAAAGGATTTATTAATTTACGGTGAGTGAGTAAAGACAGAGACTGAACAGCTGCGGCTTCATGCGTCATTTCAGAAGGACAACATCGAGTTTTAATAATAATTCATGTGGTTCAATAACCATCACATCAATCATATGTACCGAGTCTTCAAGGGTTCAAAGACACACTGCTGCTTTTCCAGAGCACACACACACACACACACACACACACAGTGTACCTGGTGCACAGCTGTCCACCAGTGCTCCCAGTGCCTTGCCGTCTCTCCAGTCCTGGCTGAAGTTGGTGATGGGCAGATCTGGGACTTTGTGTTGGATCCAGCCCAGCAGACGCTGTTTAGGTGTCTTTGATTCTGCCTGAAAACCAACAGGACCAGTGGAGTCAGCAACAGTTGTGAACCAGTTACATATTTCCTATTTAATCCTTTCACTTATTTTCGAACGTCATTGTTTCTGCAAATCAACCAAAACCTTCGCGAAACGACAAACAGACGTATACAGACGTCATGTGCTCAACAGTCGGCTGTTACCTCTTCATCTTCACCCTCCCACATTGGCATGGAGATGGAGTAGTGCAGGATCAGAGTCCAGACCAGACCCAGGATCAGCTTCAGGTTCCCATCCACGATGGCTTTAGAGTCTGGAGGAGAGAAACGCACGGACGTCAGATCAGCCTCTGAAACTGATTTAATACTATAACGTAAAAATGACACTTTGGTGTCGTATGAGGTTCATGTGCAGATTATTTCATGTTAGTGCTCGAGGTCACAGCTGAATGTTATCCAACATGTTATTAAATAAATCTAAATACATTTAACTGCTCTATATTATAAACACTTCTTTTCCTTAATTAAACCCAAACAAACGTGACTCGACAAGTAGAAGAGAGAAAAAAAAGAAAAAAAGAACTGAGTTATTCATGTTTTCTGATTTTACTCCTGACGTCCATGTTTACACCACAAGCAGCTTCAATCTGTTCCTGACCAACACGTCTCCGCTGCCGCCCGGCACAATTACAGTTCATTTCCAAAAAGGGATGAGACGTTGTGTAACGCTGACAGAGCCCAACCTGCGAAACACATTACCTGAACACCAGCCAGAGCCAAACCCATTTCAACAGAGCAGCACAGAGAGCTGCTGGGTAACGCTGCCTCGCATTAATCAGACCACACTGTACCAGCTGGTACCTCATACCAGCCACACACACACACGCAGACACGCACGCACGCACGCACGCACGCACGCACACGTAAAGTGAGTGCAGCTCAGCGGGGGGGTGAGGAGGAGGCAGCTGGGTAATCCAGCTCAGTACAAAAAACCTGTTTCTGAGGTAAAACTCACTGGAATCTCACATTCAAATGTTATGTTTGTCTTTCTTGTGCAGCTGTGTTGCTGCGAGCCGACTGCGTTCAGCAGGAATGAACCGTGTCCTCACAGTCGGTCGTCCATGAGAAATCATGTAACGCACCTGAGGAAGCCTCAGCTCTGCTGCAGCGTCAGCAGGCCCAACATGTTTCAGCAGCTCAGGTTTAGGTGGAGCGTTGGGAGGCTGCTGCCTCACCCATGGGTGACACAACCCTGTAATGACTGTGTGTGTGTGTGTCGAGGGGAGGTTGCAACATCAGACTTTCCTAATCTTTCTCTCTCTGCCAGACTCACAACACTCATTTATCTCTTTTTTTCTCTCAATCCATTTCAACTTTTCTCCTCTTGTGCTTCCTCCTCTCTCTCTCTCTCTCTCTCTCACCACCTGTTTGTTTTTTACGTGTCATTTCACTCTGATCTCTGTGGCTCCCCCCTCTCTCTCTCTCTCTCTCCCTCTTTTTTTTTTTTCCACACAGCCATATTTCTTCCTTTCTTTCCATTTTGCTGTTTTTCTGCCCCACCTGTGTGTGTGAGTGTGTCACCACCAGCAAACATCCTGTCAGTGAGCTGCACTCGACCATGACCTTTACCCTGCGCACACACATACACACACATGCACACGACACCACCCATAGCTGAGCACACTCTCTCATTCAGCTCAGCACTGATCAGTCACTCTGATTGAGACACTTTCTTTACTGAGACCAGGTGAAGAACCAGCAAAGCGTGAAAGTCATGACATAATTGTTTGGTTAGTGTCTGAGAGAAGGATTAAAGTTGTACTTTCTTCTAAATTGCTGCTTTTGTGAGTTAAAGCAACTTTTCCCTCACGCACCTCTGATGCAGCGTTTCCCAACCTTTTTCTTTTGTGGCCCGTGACAACATGTTTTCAAACAAAGGTCAAAAAGACTGGAAATCACAGATCAGTTCATTCTGCAGCAAAACAACAAGTTCAGACAACATGAAGACGAAGGGATCTTCAAAACTGATTTAAAGACGGACGGAGCTGCAAACAAACATTGATTTCATTCACTATTTTCTTGTCGTTTACTTCAGTTTGTATGAATCGTGTTGGTTTTATCATTTAAAAAAAATGGTTTTC